TGTGTTTTTGACTCGGCTTGTTCCTCTGACTATTCTGTTCTGCCTTGCCCTCTTGCTTCAGACTGTCACTGTGTATAATTATCGGACTTCCCTTTGGACTACGTATTTGGATTCCTCTGCTGTATGTGTTTGCTGGCTCTGATCTCGGACTGTTTATACCGACCTGTGATTTTTGTGTTTCACCGTGTCTTGTATGGTTTTGTTTAGCGTTAGTTCTCTTATTAAAGAGACGGTTTTGTTTTACATTTCCTTGTCTGGCCTTTTAATTGAGTTCACCCTCAACATTTTTGGCAGCATAACGCGCCGATTCCTGACATGTGGTGTGTGCGTGTGTGTTTGTCTTTATATACTTGTGCGAACCAACCCCTGATGGAACACCTTTCTTGTGTGGACATTTCATTGGTGACTTTCACCAATGCGGTTTCTGTACTATGATGGACTCTAAATCCTGACTGAAAATCCTCAAACAAATCATTCTTGTGCAAGTGGTCACATAACTGCTTTGCAACAGCTTTTTCAAGGGTTTTGGAAATAAATGGGAGATTGGATATTGGTCTATAATTAGCTAGGACACCTGGGTCAAAGGTAGGCTTTTTGAGTAGCGGTTTAATTACTGCAAGTTTAAAAGCCTGTGGAACATAGCCTGTTAATAGAGAGAGGTTAATCAGATCTAGTATGGATGTGTTGATTAGGGGAAAGATGTCTTTGAGCAGCCTGGTCGGGATGGGGTCCAGGAGACATGTTGATGATTTAGATGAAGCAATTGTTGAGGTCAACTCAGAGAGATCTATAGGAGAGAAGTAGTCCAAGTATAAATGAGGTCTTACAGATGTTTCTAAAGCCATTGTAGTAGATGGCACATCTGCGAGAGCTGTGGGAATGGTCCGACCAATTTTTTCTCTAATAGTTGTGGTGTTGTTTTTATTTCCCTCTATCAATTTTGAATAATATGCGATTCTGGCATTACAAAGGGCTTTTTTTAAAATATACATTATTAAACTATCTTTCCAGGCTAAGAAAAACTCTAACTTAGTGGAGCACCACCTCCTTTCCAGTTTTCATGATGCCCACTATAGGGAGCAGAGCTGCAAGCCAGCTATACCAAGCTGTACCACAGGGCTAGCCTCCTCTGTTTCACTGCCTTCTTTTTCAGAGGGGCAACAGTATTAAGTGTTGTACACAGGGAGGCTGCAGTGCTATCAACAAGATTATTGACTTGTGTGGGACTAAATCAGACTGAAAGTCTGGGAATTCAGTTAAAAACTCTGAATAAGGAGCAGGTGGATGATATGCAATAACAAACTGGCAGAACTGGAAAATTTTTGAGTTTTGGAAAACATTGAGTTCATTCCCACTGCTATGCTCAGGATACTCAGCTCTGATTTTAAGACTCTTTGTTACTACGTACTTACGTACGCATGTGCCACGTGGAATGGCAGCAAGTTACAGCAGCTGTGTCCTCATTGTGTTCTTTTCCGTGTTTTTATGAAGTTCTGTTCTTATGTGTCTGTTCTTATGGTGTTATGCTGGTTGTTCTCTGTTGCTGCTGTAACACAGAAATTTCCCCACTGTGGGATCACTAAAGTACCTACCTTACTCTACTCTACTCCACTCTGTATGTGCCTGTAGAGGCAGAATGCACTTCTCAAATTATTAAATTTGCTACATAATTTCCTGGTCCTAAATTTAGATAGACACCTTCCCAATGAAGTAATAGTAACGCTTGAGAACTGAATTCTCAACAGGATGTCTTATACCCCTGTGAAGACCTAATGTTAAACCGCATGTGGTTTTACTTCCTTCTAAGTTGCAAGTGTCAGTACTTGCTAGTACTATTACCATGACATGTTTTTTCTTGCATATAAATATATATAGTATACACAGAAATATTTTGAAACTACCTCTTTTCCTAATGTATGAGACTTAGTCACATGTAAATAGTTTTTATGAACAACCAGAGTCATATTATGAACTTTAACAAATGATAACTTGCCTGAAAATGAAGTTCCCATACAGGTCTGCTACTAATCTATAAGTATTTTATTCAGATGAGCAGACATAATGGCAAGGAGATTTCCTATAAAAGTGAAGATCAGCAGCTTAAACAATATATTAATTAATCCCTGAAACTCACATCAGAATCACTTCTTGTACATATGCGGTGTCCACCCCCACTCTACCACTACCATGTGATGCAGATGTGAAACTCTCTGTTTACTTCATCAGACAAACCTCACACAATGAGAATGACCTGACATGAAACTGTAACATCATACATATGGTGGAGGAACAGTGAAACACAATGTGGAGTTTTTTTTTCTTCATACTCATCTGGTTTTCTACAACCCAAGCTGGTGAGTTTTTCATGTGTGTTGTGTGTTTATTGGTGAGTTCTTGTGAGGTGAATGACATTTTACCTGTTAATATAAGGTAAAGGGTCAGATAATCAAACCAGGGTAAGAATTAATGGTCTTCTGCTTTGCCGAGTTAGGAAGTCTTACCTAACACGTGGTGCAACATCAAAATCCACAGCTTCCTTGATTTAACAGAACAAAAATCTTGCCTCATGTTTATCTGGAGTGAGATGTGTCAGTCATATGTTTTACTTTGTACTGTGAGTCTTGTGTCCACTATATCCATCCATATTTGTACTATCTTTGACTCACACTTTCTGTGCCAGTCACTTTGACAGACTACTGTGAAGATGTCCCCGACAAGTGTCATGACAGGGGTGGTTCCTGGACTAGGTAACTCAACTGATACTGTAGATCTTACTCTCCTCTTTTAGAGGAGTCATGCATCTTTCCTCTACACTACTGAACATGTGGTTATTCCCTGCTGTCTAATGAATTCTGGCATAGATTTGTCATGACTGTGAGGCCCTGAAACAAAACAAGTAAATAACTGACTAACCAGTTAACTTACCACTTTGCTGTTGAATAAAGAAAGGTCACCTCCAGATCATCAGCCTTTCAGGAACTAAGTGCACATGACTGCATTCTCCAAGCCACAATATGTTGAAATAGCTTCACAAATGTGCACATTTCTAAGTCCATTAATGTCTGTGGACATTCAGTTAAAGTCAAACTCACTCAACAGTACCTTTGTGTTTAACTGTGCTGTGTTGTTTGTTCAATACTTATCAATATAGTTCTAATACTGTAAAACTCCGTGATTGCTGAAGTATGTGAGATATGTGTTGATAGGTGTTATGAGGGCAGGATTACAAACTGTACATTCAGAAGGCGTTTCCAATCACCCTCATTCCGTCAGAGAGTGAACTCATCTCAACCGGTAAGTAAGGCCAAATTTTGGGTAACTAGCTTCTAACTCTTGTCTCATCTGGTCTTCAGTTTGTTCTTAAAGGTAAAACAATATCTAGGTGCACTAAAACTGAGCAAACAGCAGAAAAATAGCTTTATTGTCTTCATCATACGCATACATGCACAGGAGAGTTCAGGATGTTATCATTTCCACCGTATTGTTTCTTCTTTTTAAAATCATTCTCAGCAAAGAAAAATTCCACAAATAGATTTTCTTTTAGTACTCTATCATACGGTTTCCTTGGTGTACTGTCTATTCAATATGTGTTAATATTGTTTTCATGTCTGTGTGTACTTTTGAGGCTGAAGTAGGTCCCACTCCTGATCACAAGGTGTACATCCCATCCTCAGCTCTCCAGAGAAGCAAAGCTGTGTCTGAGGAGGAGGTACTGCTGGTGGCCACTGTGATCAGCAGCACTTACTTTAAGGTCAGTTGCCCTGAAGGTACTAAGTTGGAGTCACAAGAGATCTCTCCGGTGAAACTGGCTAATCACTTATTAACCCTTATTAGTCCTTCATAATTCAACACTAATCACAATATGTAGATAAAGAGAAGTTAAGAAAGAAATTAAGAAAGTTCTTTGAGCTTTGGAAAATCTGATTTTGCAAAATAAACCAACATCACAGTAAGACATTGTGTACAATGAAAACATAGAAGGTTGATACTTTAGCTAATTTGTTGCAATTGTTTTGAACATTTTCATTTAGCTGAAATGATCCATATCTCACTGTTAATATAAATTGTATCCTCTGCCACCTCTTCTTGTCATTGCAGCTGAGTCCCCCTCAGACAAAAGCACGGGGGGGAGCTCCGATACACAAACAGTCTGGCACTGTTATGGGGGGGTTAGTACTGCTAGTGAAGGCAGGAGCCCATTCTGTCAGAAACCTCACAGAACCCATCAAATTAACCTTCAGACACCACAAAAAGGTAAAGTGACACAACCAGCTGTGTTAGAATACACTAGGAAGTACAATCTGCTGTCATCTGACTTTTATCCGCTTTATTCGACTTTTGAATGTGTTTCAGGTAGAAACTGGGACTTGTGTCTTTTGGCAGGAGTTATCACTGAAGGAAGGAACAGGTGGGCTGCATACTCCAGCCTACAGTATTTATAGCTCTTAAATAAAAAGACAATTTCAAATTCATACATTGTGTATTCTTTAGGTTACTGGAGCAAGGACGGCTGTGAAACCAGTGACAGTGGAGCTGAATTTATTTGTACCTGCAACCATCTCAGCTTCTTTGCTGTGCTTGTGGTAAAATGAGCAAATGTTATTGCAGAACATTTCCTCTCATCCATGATTTTATCGATTATCATCGATTTACAGTCATTTACTAGATAATTACCCTTTTCTGTTCCAGAACCCCATTTTATCAGTGGATGAACGTAATTCTATGGCCCTTGGCTATATAACTTACATTGGATCAGCACTTTCCATCTTATTCTTAATCATCAGCTTGATCATCTTTATATGTCTACGGTGAGTTTTTTTTTTTTTTTTGACTGAAAATTCTTATTTCCATGTTACTTTCAACAGAGATGTCCCCTTCTGTTCCTTTTGTCAAAGAATCAGAATCAGAATCAGCTTTATTGGCCAGGTGTGTTAGACACATTGTGAATTTGACACATTTTGACACACACAAAGCAATATGTGTCTGTTAAGTGTGTGTTATTGTATTTGCATCACAGAAGTGTAGAAGTCAAACCACAGGACTGTATGAGTTTCAGTTATCTTGTTAAACATTTGGGGGTTTTTTTGTGCATGTGTCTGTGTCATACAGATGCACTTCCCAATTCTTCCCCACACTGTTATAGATCTCATACTCTTGCTTGTTGAAGTGTAGCACCTCACAGCGCACGGCTGCCATTGGTTCTGTACCAGAAACAAATTCCTTGTGTCCAACATACTTGGCCAATAAAGGTGATTATCCTTATGGCATGAACTAGTTGAGATGTATTTGTTGAAACACTTCAGCCAACAAGCCTACCTCACTTGTTCCCTGCAAAAACATAAAGTGTTTTTTATAGCGCAAACTTCTACGGTTCAGACAGTAGTGCAATGGGGCATGTTACAAAGTGTTGCTGGTTGTATGCACGTTTTTGAGCCTAAAATGACCAACTGCAAAGAAATACACACATCTGTGTATTTGTAACACCCACTGTGATCTTTCTATGCAGAGGAAGGTATTACAGGGTTCTTAGATATTGCAGGCCAACACAAACTCAGTGGTTTCTATCACAATGAAGGCCCATGGGGACGGCTGCACCCGGTTGCTCCAATGCAAACAAAAGAAATAACTATGTGAATACCAAAAGAAATTGCAACTATTTTCTGGGAGAAGCGGTGCCTTATCTAACTGAAATGCAGGGGTGCTGATATTTTTGGCCATGACTGTATTTGCTAAATAGGTAAAAGAAAAATGATTATGTTATACTGCATACTGTTTGTCTTTCAGACGGCACCGCCCAGAGAAGGTCATTGGTGTGCACATGCAACTAGCTGTGGCGCTGCTCTGCCTCCATCTTAGCTTCCTGCTGTCCACTCTCATAGTGTGGCTACAAAAGGAGAATGTGGAGCAATGGGTTTGCAAAGCTCTGGGTTTCTTTTTACACTGGGCTTTGCTGGCCACCTTCAGTTGGATGCTTCTGGAGGGATTCCACCTCTACCTTCTCCTTGTCCGGGTTTTCAACATCTATGTCAGGAGATACCTGCTCAAACTCAGCTTGGTGGGATGGGGTGAGTGGAATCCAGCTTTCTGCCAAATGTGTGTGAACTTGGCTTTTGTCCTATTAATAAAAAATTATTGATGTAAATGCTTACACAAATTTGTTGGGTCAATACATGCAGTCCCATGTTCATGTCTTTACTTTGTGAATTTTATTCCCCCCCCCCATTTAGAGCAACTTTAAAAATATTTTAGTAGATTTGGTCACAAGGGGGGCAAGAGAGAAATGTTTTGTTGCGTCGTACCAGCATCTACGCAAAGACAGGGCTGTCATAATGAATTTAGGATTGCTAGCGAAGCAGGTGGTCCCTGGCCCCTGATGGCCCTAAATTTGTTGTGTGTCAGTTAGTTTTTGGTAATTTTGTTAATATCAAATTTCTTTGGGTCTATGCACTACAACAGCAAAAGCACAATATCAACTGAAAGGTTAAGGACCTTAAAACTGTAGCAGAACCCTTGGCCGCTTGGGGCCTGCAGGAACACACTGTAAAATGACATATTTTCACCTTTTAATTTGATATGCTACACTTCCAACAGATATGGAGGAACACTGGCATTCTTTTAGTGTCATATTTCAGTCCAGCTGACAAATATGAGTCCAACATTGACTCTCCATTTGGTTCTGTATCCTAACTCCTATTACATTTAAGGGAAATGTTGCTAACATTTTCTGTCTGATGTTTAGTGACTGTATACTCACTGAAAATAGCTTTCTTCTACATCTGGAAAAAACACTGATCAAAGCAATGAAAGTGAAGTGAAACAGTATGCCCTGTGCTGAATGCTGCATAGACCTCTGTTGACTGACAACGATGAGTAGAGTGAATTGACTGTTGGTTTTAGTCTTTGTATGGGGGTGCTGAAAATACTATTAATATAAAAAAAATGACCAGCCTTATCCTTTTAGAGGAAAGGAAAAAAAATCTACAATAGATCAAACCTGTACTGCAAATTATTATTCTGAATTTGAGTTTTTATCTTCAACTTTATTTTGGTCTTTGAATTTAAGAAACTAATATTAATATAGAAACCAAATGATCACATAGTCTCATTTAACCATAATCTGGGCTAACATTCTATCTTTTTTGTCTTTTGGCAGGTCTTCCTACACTGATTGCAGTGGTTTGTGGGATTTCAGGTGTTTATGGCAAATACAGTTTGGAACTGAGGGATACCAAAAACCGTAATTCAACAGTGCAGATGTAAGGAACCAGGACACAGGACAGCGGTGTCCTCTTGTGTTCTTTTCCGTGTTTTTATGAAGTTCTGTTCTTATGGTGTTATGTTGGTTGTTCTCTTTTGCTGCTGTAACATAGAAATTTCCCCACTGTGGGATCAATAAAGTACCTACTCTACTCTACTCTACATCGCCATGATTTTAAATATTCCCCCACACAGAAAGTCAGGATTCTTAGTAAATACATATCTGGTTTAACAGTGCTCTGTTATGTAGAATTCTTTTTAAATACTTTAATTTTTGTTTTGTCATAATCTATAGGTGCTGGATGAGCAGCGAGTTCCCACAGAGGCTTGTAGTCAGCTTTATCACTACTGTGGCCTTTCCATGTCTGGTAATACTGTATAATTCCTGCATGCTGGGGGTGGTGGTGTTTAAACTATGGAAGCTAAGACAAGGTAATGGAAGCACTGAAAGCAGAAGTAGCGGGAAGAAGATGACCAGAGAGAAGGGCTTATGGAAGGACTGTGCGACTGTGCTAGGCCTCAGCTGTGTCCTGGGCTTACCCTGGGGCTTAGCAAGCACCACCTACCTCTCCCTCCCTGGGATCTACATATTCACTATACTAAACTCCCTGCAGGGTCAGTATGTGTATGATCCTCATATGTTGTATGCACTATGCTTTTATGACTTGCTGGAAAAACTCACATCTTTTCTTTTCTCTTTTCAGGTGTATTTGTGTTCCTGTGGTCCGTGGCTTTGACCTACAAGTCTCGATCTGACAATAACTCCTCGTTGAGAGACCAATCTACACAGAAAATGATGACTACCAGTTTTAGTAACTGATGTTATCACAGCTAAAACAAATGTATTATATTAGGTGTTTATTCTTCTTTAGACTCCAGTCTTATGCAGTTAAATGATAACTAACAATAACCATTTTTTCTCTAAAAGATCTCTGAGCACTATGACATGTCATGAACGGAAGGACAGCTTTGTATTTAAGCAACAATTAAACAGCAGCACATTTAGACTGTTTTCAGTGGACATGACAGCATACCTGAATAGTTTATACTACTTTCTTTATTGGGTCAGGTAGTGTTAACAATAAAATGTATGCCCTAATAACATCTAATATTCATTACATACAACATCATATCAGTGAATTAGCTTTAATATATGTAAAAAAAAAACAAAAAACTAGAATTACCACTTTGCGGTTGTATGCCTCAGCCAACCAGTCAAATTCATGTGTATGGGACAGAAGTGAGGTCACTGACCTGTGACCTTTGACAACCAAAATCTAAACAGTTCATCCTTGAGTCCAGGTGGGCATTTGTGCCATATTTTAAGAGATTCCCTTTAAGGTGTTCCTGAGATATAGTGTTCTCAAGAATCTTACAGATGGAGGGATGGACAATTCAATAACATAATTCCTCCAGCCGTGGCTATAGCCAGCACAGAGGCATAACAAGATGGCCTGAGTTATATTTTTGATGCTAGTATACAATAAAAACACATTCAAATGTCTGTTTTTAATAAAAAAGCACAATTCAGTCTTCAGGTGAAGATGAAAGGAGGCATGTCCTAGCATTTTAAACTTTGGTAGCTAGTCACTGCCCATCAATTCAAATTGTCACATGAGTATAAATAAATTTTATTGGTCAAAGGTTGCTATTGTGTGCTTGACAATACGTGACACCGAGAATGGCAAGAGACCCCCAACCAAGTGTCTTATTTTCCAAATAAAGGTAAAAAACAATTTAATGATGCAAAGTTCAACAATCAATCATGAGTTATTAATGGATAAGTTAGAAAAATATGGGATCAGAGGATTGGTTTTGAATTGGATTAGAAGTTATTTGACACAGAGGCGTCAATTTGTGAAGTTGGGTGAATACCAATCGAGTGAGCTGGACATTGTATGTGGAGTGCCTCAGGGTTCTGTTTTGGGACCTAAACTATTTATATTATACATCAATGATATATGTAAAGTTTCTGATACTGTTAAAATGGTTTTGTTTGCTGATGATACTACCATTTGGGC